CATAGTTCATAACAATGCGATTAGGTTGTCATTTACAAATATGGGCATCATTAAAGTAGATGACAGCTGTCATAATTTGAGGAATCAGTTGCAGACTCTGTGTTCATAAAAACTTGTGTTAGCATACGGGGAATACGCTAAGCCATTAATTTCCCTCATATGGTGGACTCTGCTAACTCATCCACTTATTACAAATCTCATGGCTTTGTGGCTTGAGATCCTCAAAATATCATTGTTTTGCTGAACATCACAGTTTTTTTTTACTGTCTGTCAGCTGCTTGATTAATTTTCTCAGGTTTGTTTTTTATGTAAAGCATCAGATGCATGCTAATTGTCTCCTTGTGTCCCTCTCTCAGTTGTTCAGTGAAACCTAAGGAGGGTGTGTTTGTCATCTGTGTTGTCGTGTCCAGATGTTTGGGCTTCTTAACCGTCTATATACCTTGTTATCAGTCTTTCCCAGGGGCTGTGCTGTCACACTCTAATTGCTTGGTTAGTTAATAGTTCAGATCCATCAAGCTCAATGTGTGTAAGTGTTTGTGCATGAGTGTCAGAGCGTGCGTGTGAAAGCATGACTGATTGCACTCACTCTGTTTGAGTGAAAACAGTTCTCCCACCACTTGCTCCACTGCCAGCAGCCAAAACACAGTCCAGCCAATAAGAAAACTTCTTGCCAGTCTTTGCTGTGATCTGCCAATCACAAAGAATGATCAAACCTGCTTATCACACTTGAAGCCTGTTAGTTGTCATTTCTGGATTAAACAGGCCTGTCATGTTCTTACTCCTGATGACAATGTAGAAGGTCAATGAGTGTGTTTACATGCATGATCTTACAGTACATTGAGTACTTAATAAACATGTAAAGTCATGTAAACACGGTTTAAGCTAAACTTGATGTTTGCCTTGCCCTTTATCCTGATTTCACTATGTATGTAAACATCTGTAATAGGTTTCCTTACTCGTGTCTAGGTGCACGTGTCTATTTGCATTTTGACATCAAGACCAATATACCCCAATTTTATTTTGCATCATGAGGATTGATGGATTGATTGATTGGTTGATTGGTTGATTTTTTAATAGATCAGCAATAGTGTATATGTAAAACCTGTCAAAAACCTATTAATCACAATGTGAAAATTAATACACTGGTAACACCTTCCGTTAAGGCTCAATTTGTTAATCCATTAGCTATTATAAACAATAAACAGTGCTTTTAATAATATAGATTAATGTTAATATTTACACATACTGATACGTTGTTATGAATTATTATGAATAAACATTATTATGAATGAAACATATAAATTGAAAACAAACAAACAAAAACACCTATATTTTTCAGTTTATGGGAGCTTTTCAGTAACAAATACTAAGAAATGTAAATGTTTTAGGATCCTTTTTTTTTGCCGCTTTTTGCCGTTTTTATTTAAACTTTTGCTGTTGTCATTTTTGTTGTGTTGTGACCAATACCTTTTTTCCTTACAGCCAATTTGGCATGGATTTTCCTTTTCGGCATTATAATGTATACATAAAAAGCTGCACATTTTTCATATGAAGTATTTCTCTCTTCTTAGAAGTTTGATTAGCATAGAGAGGTTAAGTGTAGAGCTCACATTATGTAGGCAGTCTCTTGTGCTTTATGTGCTCTTGGATGGAAGCCATGATTGTATTTTGTTAAATGAAGTCTGGGAGGATGGCAGGACTCACAGTGGCGTGGTTTCTGCCAGCTGAGCAAAATAAATGTGTTTGGGGTCCTAAAGAGCTACCACAATGTGAATGACATCAGAATTTTATAGGACTTGCTTGAGATTGCGAGAAAGAGAAAGACGTGACCAGCATAGACACATTAAATCAACATCAAATTAAACTAATCACACTCATACTCACACACTGAACAGATGTGATCAGCACACACAGAAACACATACATGATTACGCTCCCAGTCCTTCAGCATACACACGCTCGCATGCGTGCAGCAGAGAAAGATTCCCCCTGCAGCGTGTTTGCCATTTGAATTATCTGCACCAGTGACACTGATTCTGACAAATGTGTACAGGGATATTCCTGTGTCCTGCCATATACTGGTGCTGAGTAAATGTCCTGTCTCTCTTCATTAAGTCCATTACTACACACACACACACACAAAGACAAAAGCAATTTCACTCCCTCAGTCTCTTGTACTTATGTCAGTTTGTCACCAGTGCAGGTGAACCATTTTTGGTTTGTGGGTGCAAGAGTGTGTATACGTTTAAATGTATCTGTATGTGTGTTTTTGTAAGCTGATAGAAAGACCAAATATATTAGAAAGGGCAAGGATGGAATTTCTTAAATTCTCTAATTTCTTTTCTGCCCAGCCACCATCTCAAATTAATCTGGAATTTAGTATCTGCTCACATTAGAGAATGCACAGCATTTAGTCTTTTTAAAAATGAAGCATAGCGTCAGTTCAGGCAGGCCATGTCGGTCAAGCTCGCATCGGCTGATGACCAGCTGATCCATGTTTACCTATAGGAATTCAACACATAGCAGTCTGCGTTCTATTTAAGTTGCCTTTTCAGCTACACTTCAGCTGCTCCTATCGTGCCGCACTGCGCTCATTACTGCTCTCCATCCCCAGCTCCTCTACCATCTGACAGCAGCTTACTTTATCACTTAAGCTCCATCCATTAAGCAAATCTGGAATTGTATTATTTTCCTTCTGGACATGTGATTGTTCCTCATTTTAGATATAGTCTTTTGTATAGTCAAGTACAGTTGTTATTCATTATTGTATATCATAAATCAGTGTTTGCAATGCAATGATCTGTTTTAGCGTATGTTAAAAATAATTCTGCTGAAGCTGTTCTGTAACTCAGTGGGGGGAAACAGTGTCGCTGCACTCCCTGCTTTAATGTATGGACAGGTGGAGAGTTTTTGCTCAGAACTGAATCATACCGACAATCTTAATCATTGCTATTTGTCAATAAATCCTTTGAAGAATGTGGTCCTGAGTAAACAAATTAAAATAAGGTTTAAGACAAATCAATTATGTGATCAGTGATCTCAGGGGTGGTCAGCGTCTGTCCTGTAGAGCCACAATCCAGGTGAGTTTTGCTCCAACTTTGATAAAAAGTCACCTGTCTGTAGCTTTCTAGTAACCCTTAGATATTGATTAGCTTCTTCAGGTGTGTTTGATTAGGGTTAGAGTGAAACTCTGCAGGACTGTGGCTCTCAGTGATCTTTTATGTGGAATATAATGTGTTATATATTGCATGCACATTATTATTATTTTTTTATTGTATTATTTTTATGTTGTATTGCCCAGGAAGTGCAGAAAGCAAATTAGCTTTATAGCAAACTCTGACACAACAGCTGTGTTGTGCATGGTCCCTGTTAAGTAAACTAAATAAGCTAAACTAACCTAAACTCAGTCATGCTCCCAGATATAATGTATCATACAGTCTGTTGGTTTTCTAATTTAATATATTTTAAATTGTAATTTATTCAGGTGAAAAGCTGAATTTTCAGCAGCCATTACTTCAGTCTTCAGAGTCACATGATCCTTCAGAAAGCATACTAATATGCTGATTTGGTGCTAAAAAATCATTTCTTATTCTTAACAGTGTTGAATACAATTGTGCTGCTTCATATTATTGTGAAGACTATGAAGATTTTTTTCTGGATTTTTTTTGATGAATAGAAAGTTCAGAAGAACAGCAGTTTAATATTTAATGTCTGTAAAATGTAAAATGTCTGTTTAATGAATTTTTATCAATTTAAACTTAATTTAAATTTAAATTTTAACTTTTAAACAGTAGGTTACCATAATTATAATAAGGATAATTCTGTTGGACTGTTTGCCAAATAGTGACCGAAAAGAATGTGCACCAGAAATCACTTTGTTTGTTATTAATATGACCTGGGGTCCTTAAACTATCAAAAATGAGTATTACAAGTTTAGTGGCATCTCTGTTACAAATTTTATCAAAAAAAAAAGAAAAAAGTATGGTATTTAAAATGAATAATGAGCTAGGTGTTGAATTCCTCCCTCAAATATCCTTCTAACCTGGTTTGTTGGGTGGGTCATTGTATGTGAAGAAATTTCAACTAATTGAATCAAAACAGTATGGCAGCTGGCACATTGTTCTTCATAACAATCAATATACAAGATAACCCTTTTGAATGCCTCTGTGTGAGGTTATTATGCTGTTGCTGTACATACAGTACATATGTGCAGTCAGACTCAAACTATTGTAGCAATTCTGAAAACACACTCAAAATTATTAGAGACTGTTAATTGTGAGCAGTAAGCAGTTTAATGTGTCCCAGCGTGAGTGCAGCATTTAGCTGACTGAAGGAGCACATTCTCAGCATTGCTCTTCTTGTTACGTTCCTCTCTTCCTTTCTCTCATTCTCTCTGTCTCTCTCTGTCTCTTCCCTCATCCCTCTCCCTGTGGTTCCATTTAAAGTGCTAATGTGTGCTGAAAGAGTGTGGAAATTCATACTCTCCCAGGCATTCATTACTCCCTAGATCTTCCTTACTTAGTAATAAAAAAGAATTAGGCTTTAGTTAAGGGTGTTGATATATAGGTCTTATAAAATTTTATTCTTCAAGTGCCTCTATGAATCCTGTGCCAGTTCTTTTTTCATTGTAAAAAAAAAAGTAACCAGAATATTCCACTAAATTGTCAGCGCCGACTCGTGGGCAGCATGCCGACATGTTGCGCATTGGGCATCCCGAGTTCCAGTTCCGGTTCGTGGATTTTTCCCAATCCTGTCCCACTTTGCTTCCCGTCAACTTACTGTCCTATCAAAATAAAGGCATAAAACAGCAAAAAAGACATCTTTAAAAAAGCAAGAAAGAAAGAAAGAACATTCCACTAAACTTCTCCTTTGAGTTGAATAAAGAATGTATTAAAAGCAAATTTATTCAAATCTTATAAGTTGCAACTGGAAGTTGTATGCATCAGTGTGTGTATATATTTCAGTGGTGTGCTAAATATTTGTGTATGTGTGTTTTCCAGGTCGTGGACCTGTACTGGGGAATTGATCCAGAGGAGTGGGACAGTCCAGAGCTGCAGAGACTACGGATGAAATTACTGGAAGAATGTCTAAAGACTTCAGCCGGTCCATGCTTTGTTGTGGGTATATATGACATTTCATCAAACCATTAACAAGCAACTCTGTTGTAAACTACAACTATGTTGTAAATCCCAAATATATAGAGAAAGACACTGGTAGTAATTAGTGGTCAACAAATATATCTCCATAGCCAAAATATTGGCCTATATTTGGCAGTTTATCTGTTTGGCCAATAAGAGTTGGAAGCAGGATTTTTATTTTGACATAGAATTTAGGGTTGTTTTTTACTAATGTTCCCCCTCGAGGAAACTCACACTGCGTCGGTAACGTTACCGACGCAGTGTCTCATTCCCTTTCTCGGGGAACAAAGGTTACAGTCGTAACCCAAGACGTTTCATATATATATATATATATATATATATATATATATATAT